GGGGCTCAGCGGTGGGTGCCATGGCGGGCCCCCTGCCTTACGCCCCGCCAGAGCTCTGCCTGCTCCAGGGCTCCGACACGCTGGAGCTGGACTCCAGCCTGGACGTCTGGGCCTTCGCCGTCCTGCTCTTCTGCCTCTGCACTGGCTGCTTCCCCTGGGCTGTGGCCACCAGCTCCGACCCCCAGTTTGAGGACTTCAGCGCCTGGCAGGGTGGCGGGGCGGGGCGGGGGGTGCCTGCATCCTGGCAAGGCTTCGGCTCTGGGGCGCTGGAGATGCTCCGGCGCTTGCTGACGCTGGACCCTGACCGCCGGAGCCCGGCCATTGAGGTGCAGAAATACCTGTCCCTGCCCTGGGTGATGGCCCCCAGCACTGGAGACCCGGCACCAAGGAGCTCCCAGTCCCCCCTTATCAGCGGCATGAGGGAGAGCCTGGGGGGCACCAGGGGATGCGATGCTGCTGGTGGGGGAGACGGGGTTCCCATGCCCCCCGCTAATGCACTGGCCTCGTGCCGGTAGCCAGCACCTCCCCTCAATCCAGGGGCTGGTGTCACAGTGGGCACTCCCCAGGGGCCTGGGCTCCCCGTCCGATGCCCAAGGCTTGCGGGGCTAGAAATGGGCTGCAAGCATGGGAAGGAGGAGCAGTGCCTCGGGCAGCACCTGGAGACCCCAGCCCTGCAGCTGGATGTCTGGCACCCTTGCAAAGCAATGTCACTTGGCGGTGGTGACAACAGTCCATTCAAGCAGCCGTTGCACAGCTCTGAGATGCACAAGGGAAACCCAGGGCAGAAGCAGCCCGGGATGACAGACAGAAACAGAAGGAGAGCAATTAATTAAAAATTAAACCTGTTAAGGTTGATGCAAGACCTTGGCAGAGACAGATGGTGAAACTGCTCAGCAGAGGAACCCAGAAACGCGTCTGACCTTGACCTCCTTCCTGCACCTTAGGGATAAGGAGGTTGTCATGGCTGCTGTTAATTAGGGAAGATGCTAAACAGCCTCCTGGGGGTTAAGGAGCTGGGGAAACGAATGTAAGACCTCAAAGCATGCAGCTGAACTGGGGTGTGATAGGGCTGGGAGGAGCTGCCAGGTGGATCTCTAGGACTTGAGTTAAAACCAGACAAACCTGAGATCTGGCTCTGTCTGAGCAATGCAATGCTCAGGGTGATTTGCACCGTAAAGGGCTGGTTGTGGGTCGGCTGATAGTGCAAAAGGGTAAAGAGACACAGCGAGAGAGCAAATTGGGATGGCTCTGGGTGTGCAGGAGGGGACACAAGAAAATTGGCTTCAAGGGCTGCAAATATTCTCCATCTCCAGCAAGGGAGGGACTGGACAGACTCCAGAGGGGAGTTTGTGGGGTTAGCTCATGGTTTGGAGGCTGGACAAACACCTGCCCAGGCTCAACCAGCCATCTGGTCCCCGCTGGCTTTCTCACTGGGGCTGCTGGCAGCCGGGAGGGGAGCAGTGGGGTCCCGCAAACTTTGGCACCTAACCTTGGTACCACAGCACCCATGGGCAGGGCTCTGCCTGCCTGCGAGCTGTCCTGCACCCCTTCGAGCAGTCTGCACCTCTGTTTTGGGACACAGGGTTCCTGGAGCTTCTGCCTGGGACCCCTCCATGCTCTGCCTGGGGAACCTGTGCCCACCCCTTCCCGGGGATCCCCAACAGGCTGGGGGACACTGTGCTCTGCCATCTGCAGAGGATCCATCTCCTGCACAACCAACCCTGGTGCAAAGTGGAAGGGGAGGGGGAAAATTAGCTGAGATGCTGAAGGTTAATAAAAAAATTCTCTGTTCTTTTGCCTTTTTTTTAAACTGTGTTTTCCCATGAAGCTGCTGCTTGAGCCCTAAATCTTGCTTTTTCTCCTTCTCGGGGCAGGCAGGCTCTGAGCAAAGGGGGTCCGACCCCCCCACCCCTCCATGATGGTGGGAAGTCTCCAGAGAGGAGAGGGCACATGGGCAGCTGGCAGGCTCGCCGAATGCCTGCCTTCAGCAACACAGAGGCTTTTCCTTTGTAGCTGCCCCCCTGAATTGCAGCCTGGGGATGCTCAACCCAGGGGTGGTGATGCAGGACTGGATGGTGGTGCTCCCCGTAGCTGGGGGTGGAAAACTTCCCCATCCTGGAGGAATCCTGGGCGTCCTGAATTTCTCCTGAGCCACACAATTTTCCAGGAGAGAAAAACCTCCCCAGCACAGCACCAGCATGCATGCCATGGAGCTTACTCCAAAGAAAATAATGCTCCATGGAAATGGATTGGGTAACGTTTGCGATAAGCAGCTCATGAACACGTTTGCAGGACGGGTCAATTTGCTGTCCACACAAATATATGGGTCTAGCCCTCACTCAAGCTTCCCAGTGGCTGGGGAGAGCTGGGCTAGTAAAACCAGACAGGGTGGTCCAGAGATGCTTCTGGCTGAAAGGCAAAGGGGACATCATGCGAGGGACAGCCAAGCTCCCTGGATGATTTAAAGGAGGGTCTCAGGGACTTTATGGAGGAGTGCAACCTTGCAACAGCCCCCTGTTACCAGCTATGAAGCAGCGCGGCTGGACCTGCAACGGTAAAAACATCGGCTGCATCTATGGGGCCAGGATGGGAGAAACCTCCTGGTCTGAGTCCACCAATCTTATATCTAGAATACTGGGAAGGAGAAATCTCTCGGGGTCCCCAGATATGCAGGATTTGGCTTCTCCTTAACAGGCAAACCCTCCCATCTCCAGCCCCCAGCATCACAGTTAAGGGGGCTGTGGGGGGACGTGCTGCAAAAACCCCAGGCCAGTGGCTGGCAGAATGGTTTATGAGATCTCCAGAAATAATGTGTATGGGCACGTACCCAATCAAATGCATTGCATCTGGGTGTATCCAACAGATGCACCAAAAGCAAACCCCAAGAGCGCTGTTGAGGGGTGGCCCCCAAACCAAGCCGAAGCATCACCACATCACCTCTATCCTCCTCCTTCCCAGACAGGAGCTAATTTGGATAGAAGACATTAGAGCACATTGGAGGCTTAACTTGTGGGCTCTGCTGAAGAACAGGATTGCTCTTAATTTCTCTTTCGGGATGGACTTTCATGGGAAAGACAGGAAGGCCACATTGGGAGACAGTGGCACTGGTGGAGAGTTGCAACTCTCAGGCTCTTGGCATTGTTGGGGCAGGCACGGAGCAACATGAGAACAAAGCATCTCAACTGCTGCTGTAGTCAACAGAGCTCCCAGCGGGCTCTGGGAGGGTCTCAGGGGCCCATCCATGGCTTGTATTGACCTACAAGTCTTGTGTAGGTCAACCTTGCATCACCTGCCTTGGTCTGAAGCTGGTGTGGCACTTCACAGCTGGAAGACCAGATACAGGGGGAAATGCTTAGGACAGACCACCGGTTTCCAGGTTTTGGGAGATTAAAAAACCCTCATCTCTGCATTCCTTAAAACCTACCAAAACCGAGGGGTTTGCACTCAGAGATGTTGCAGAAATCCCAGATCTATTGACGTCACCACCAGGGACCCCTCCTGGGGACTGCTCAAAACCCAGTGACAAACAGTCAAAACTGGTTTTTGGCTTCTTCTGGGTTTTTTTTCTGTTGTTTTTTTTTTTTTTTTTAAACTCTGCTTTTCTGAGAAATGGAAATTACTTGCAAGGTTTGCCATTGTGGGCAGATCCAGGGTTGCAGAGCCATGTTTTTAATGCCCAGAATTTATTCAGTGATATAAAATATAGGTTACTGTCAGGGCCAGTGATTTAATACAATTTCTCCTGATTATTTTTGATTAATTAGTATTTCTCCTCAGCTGCCTTCCTCCTCAAATGATGATGTCAGTGGTGGAGAAAAAATAGCTTAATGCTTCCTATAAGCTGGAGATTTTTACAGAGAATCATAGCAGGTTACTGCAAAATCCTAAAATTATGCAAAGGATCTGGCAGTTCAGGACTTTAGGATCACGTTACAGGAAATGACTGCTTGTTGCATTGAAACCAACTCTGCTTTGACAGTCGTGCTAGAGGTTTTCAGATTTTGAAAAACTCCTTTCAACTCAGCTGTCAACCCACCCTGAATTTAAAGCGAAGAAACTGCATATCTTCAATGACCATCAGGAATGGTTTTTAAAAAATTTAAATATTTATTAAAATATTCATCACTGTCGTGGTTTAACCTGGC